AGTATTTTTCAAATAAATATCATTTTGTTATGATTAGCGGTTTGCTGACGGCGTACACGACAAGCGTTTACGCCATCAGATGTAACGGAAGAGTAAATTTAGTCAAATATGTGGCGAAACGGTTGATACGATTACTGCCGCCCATTGTATTACCAATTTTGTTGATGTCTTTAATGCCTTTACTGCCAAACGGCGGACCCGTTTACAACTCGAGCACAACGCGAATGCGGGATAATTGTGCCCAAAACTGGTGGAAAAACTTGCTATTTATTAGCAATTTATTGGATCCAAACGATACCGTAATTATTATATATTTGTCTTGTAGTGCAACATATTTGGGAATGAAATTTGATTTTCTCTCTACTTTTATGTACTTTTATATACTTTTGCAGTGTTTGCCGCACTTGTGGTTTATTAGCGCCTACTTTCAACTAAATTTGATTGCAATCATCGTTTTATTCATCACTTATAAGAGGCCCAAAATGTTCAATTTGTTTGCCATAACTCTGATATTAATTGGAGTTATTTTTCCAATGCTTAACACCTATGGAAACAAATTGTCTTTAAAATCGCCGTTCATTGATAGACCACTACTCGAGTATGGGCTCAACATTTAACATGTTTTCCTCACAAATACACTCAAATCCCTAATCTCTCTATTATTTTACAGCGAAATTCCAAACGACTTACGGCTTAAACATTTCTTACCATTCAATCATTTTTCCTCGTTTTTCATCGGAATATCAATTGGCGTTAACTTAAGTTCAGTTCAAACAAAAGCAAATTTCAATACCGTAAGACTTATGGCAAACATTTCACAATAAAAACATTTTTGACAATTGTTTCCCAAATTTCTAAACAAACTTTTTACTCCTAACTATAGTTCATTCGTTTGACCCTTTGGTTTGTTTTACCGATAATTAGTTTGCTATCAATTTGTATAACATTTTTGTGGAATAATATGACCGCAAGTGAGCCCTCGGTTACACTTTCCATGTTTTATAACGGATTCAGTCGAATAGCATTCATATCAGCCTTCGCTTGGGTTCTCAATGAATGTCTCAACAAAAGAGGAGGTCTTTGAAGTTATTATACAACTATTTGATTAATTAATTAATATTTCTGTATTTAGGTTTAATTAATAAGCTCCTATCAAACAAACAGTTATTACCACTGAATCGACTGACGTATCAAATATATTTATTAAATTTAATAGTCATTTGGTTTTATTACTTTACAAAACGCGAGCTAATTGTCTACAGAGATATTGAATTGGTTTGTATTAAATAAGTTAAATCTAAATTTTAAATAATTTAATTTTATTCGTATATTTCATAGTTATTCACGAGTTGTGGAGTACTTGTGCTGACAATAATTATATCAATATTTGGTTATTTAGTATTTGAGGCGCCGTTTATTAATCTATCGAAACGCATATCAATTGTTGATGTAAAACAAAACGACCCGGAAACTAAACCAAAGACTAAAGTGAATAACGTTACGAGTAGTGTTTGTATTAAATTAGAAAATGTCGAAATTAATGGCAACACAATCAATGGCGACAAATATGGCTTAAATGAGGAGAACATCAATATTAGACTTTAATGTCTGAAGTTTACCATTCAATCTAATGTCAATAGTCAGACTGACAAATGTGTTTAATTTATTCCTGTTTTTTGTAACGTTTTGTATTTATATTTATCTATTATTTAATACAATTTTTGCATAAAAGTTTACTTTTGATTCAAATTAAACATTGTGAACGATAAACATGATTTAACTCAAAATGATTAATGTGTTGCAAAAGTCTTTCATGAGTTTATGTGTCCGTACAAAAGATTAGACCTGAGGTCTACACAAATATTCAATAAAATTATACTACAATTGATGTTCAGTGAAGTGTCTCCTCTTAAACAACACATGACTACTAATTAATAATTAATTATTTCTAATTGTTTTTAATCTAATGTTTAGATGCTTAGAGAAAAGTAGCTAGAATTTTGTGATTGATTATTAAATTTGAATTTTAAAATTTAATTATTTAGAGGAAATATTTGTGATTGAAAATTAATTGCTGTGTTTTTAAGCGAATTGATAAATAACGGACTCTTTAATCAATTCTTATGTTATTTGTTAATTAATTAATTAATTTTATTTGTCTAATAAGACAAAAGTCTTGTCACTCGTGAGAATTAAAATCTTACCCAAAAATAGACAATTTTATTGATATATAAGCCTTAGTTTAGCGAATAAATGAACAATAAATTAATTTTATTTAATTAATTCCATGAAATGAATCCATAATAGGCAACAAAATGAGACCAAATATCGGTATCAAAGATCTTTTTGTTTTGGGTTATGAAAAACTAAACAGACTATCCATCCATTTATATTTGCCCAGTATTTCCAGTTAAACCCATTACTTTGAGTTAATTATCTCTCTTTCTTGATATTTATTTATCCATTACTTAACTATACTTTTATATTACATTTTGTGGGAGAATAGGATCAAAAAAAAAATATTCAAAGTCTATTATTATTTGCCACTCATATCATAGCAACTTTTATTCACTAGACTTTTATTTGGATTATTTACTAAATTCTAATTATTTCCGAAACAATAAGAATATAAAATTATTAGCAAAAGGAAATATATTAGATAAAAATAATAAATTGGATTTTCAATACATATATACTAAATTACATTAAAAGAAGTTGGAAACATTTTGTTGGCATTTGTGTCACAATTCTATAAATAATAAGATATAATAAGAATCAGTGGAAACATGTTTTGATTGAACGAGTGATTTGATCCGTATGTAAAAAATTGA